GTGTTTTTCCGGACCGCCATAACCGCCGGAAACTCCCATTTTTATGACGGTCCCGCAATGTTTACAAGTTCCATAAACTATGCCATCTTTTGTGTCTTTGTCAAAATGATAAACAAATAATTCTGATTTATATTTTTTCTTACCTTTGTCCGGACCTCGAGAGGTCTCGGGCTCACCTGCCTCCACGTCGACGTCGTTGCTTTGCGGTGTAGGCTCATCGTCCCCGTCAAGATTATCCAGTCCTGCTTCATCAACATCCTCGAATAGACTATCAAGAGTGGGGAGATTCGTGTCTCCTCTACCAGAATAAATCTGGTTGAATTCTTCATCCGTCATAGCATCCCTGATTAAATGATCTGGGACAGTAGGAAACGAAGAGACGGAGTGTCTTCCTCGAGAACCGTGTCCGCGTGAGGTCGAACCGTCGGAGGTGGATTTAGCTTTGCCTTTACTCAATCTTCGGTTGACGTCGCCCATATCCACGGACCGTCTACCGGACTCCCTCGACATTTTAATATATATTTTTTTGATATTAAAATATTATATTACTTTTGCAAAAATTAAAAAAATTTCAAAATTTTATATATTAAAATTTCGAAAATTTCAAAAAATAAAGAATATATTTAAATTATTTAAAGATTAAAGAATATATTTAAAAATTAATAATATTTAAAATTTTGAAAAATTTGAAAAAATTTCGAAATTTTATATATTAAAATTTTAAAAATTTCAAAATTTTAATGTATAAAATTTTTATATTATTATATGAATATTAAATGTATAAAAATTAAATAGAGATAATAAGATTGAGAGATTGATAAATTGAGAGAATGAGAGGATTGAGAGATGGATTGAGAAATTGAGTGATTTTTTATGAAAAAATGAGAGAATTTATAGATAAAACTTGGTCCCCCCTCCCCCCCTCCCCTCTTCCCCTCCCCCACCTCAACGGCTAAATAGCCGTTTGAGGTGTGCCCCCTAGGGGTGGACACGGTACGGTTCCGGGACGGTTCCGGTTCCGGAACCGCCGGTTCCGGTACCGCCACCCCTTGGTACCGGTACCGGTTCCGGTTCCGGTACCGTTTCCGGTACCGTTTCGGCCACCCCTAATTTTGTTTTTTTTTTTGCTTTTTTATTATATTTTTAAAATGTAAAATTGTAAATGTGTAATTGTTAAAGGAAATGATGAAATAAAAAAATCTAAAAATGAAATTGATAAAGGAAAGAATGAAATAAAAAAAAATAATAACGGTACCGGAACCAGAACCGCCGGTGCCGGTACGGAAAAATGGGCACCGGAACCGGTACCGGATTGGGCGGTACCGGTACCGGTTCCCGGAACCGGTGGACCGTACCGGCCGGTACCGAAAGTGGCGGTACCGGTACCGGTTCCCGGAACCGGTGACACGGCTACCTTGCCAGTGACGGTGGCGGGTACCGGCGGTACCGTTGCCGGTGACGGTACCGTACCGGTACCGTGTCCACCCCTAGTACGACGTCACCTGCATAACCTTAATTTCAAATCCCAATCCTATTTGTGATTTTCAATATACAATTCAACCCAGATCTGAATTATTTCATAACATATAATTATAACAAGTCCTCAAGTTATCAAATTTAGATTACTTCCTTGTCATACCAAATCTTCGTCTAGAGGATCATGAATGGGCCAGATTATAATCAATTTGAAAGCATGGGGCCAAATCCAAATCCGTCGCCCCTGCGTATTTCTTCCTTTTTTTCCCGTAGCATTCCAATAGGCAGAGGCGGCAAAGCTCAGCGGCAGAACATCAGCGGCTACACGACATCCCGGAAGTAGAGCAACGTACAGAGCAGAGGGGAAGCCTCCGGCCGGTGTTCCTAACTCCGGCGACCGGGAAACATGGCAGCGTAGAATAGAAGGGAGTAGATGGGGTCGAGATAGAAGACGAGCATGGTACAGAGTAAAACAATTTTTCCAATTCGATTCAACATATTCAATATTCAAAATCGCAAATCCAACGTCAGTTGATTGAAAAAATATTAACGAAACCTAATCTACGAATTAATTTTAACGAGAGATAAATCACTCACCTCAATTGGATCGAGAATACCAAATTTACCGGTAGGAATCCGACAAGGTTTTCCGGCGGACCCCCTGGTACCGTTGGCGAACAAGCAAAGAAAGGAGATGAGTTGATGGTGTTGGCAATTGATATGTGCACTCCACATTTGGTTAATGGCACTCCACCTTTTGTAATCTTTTTCTATACAGACAATAATACCCTTTTAAATGAATGCGGAGAAATAGAGACCATCGCGTCATTAATTGAAGAATGCTAAATTGCTATTTTTAAAAAATGGAAGAGCACAAAGGAGTACATTCGTATATCAACAATAGTGGTGGGCTCAAAGAATAATGATTAACAACCATTTGCATGCTTTTATCTTGTTTTTTTGTCACAAAAGTTAACTTTCAACATTTTTAAATTTTACGGAGTATTAATTTGTTCCAATTTCTTCTAATTTTTTTCAACTATTCTAAATTTTTCCAACTCTTTACATTTTTTAACTACTTAAGAAATATATTTACATATGATAAATATACAATAACATCATATATTCAAATTTATAACATACAATCTCAAACACATGCAAAGACGAACTTTTTTATTCAAAATTATTTTTTTACATATTTATTTGAGTGTTCATTTAATTAAATGAATTTTAATACTTGCTTTCCTAACACTTTCCAACTATTATTGAAGAATAATTCTTACTCCCTACTACCTCTGTCCCTTAATATTTGTCCAGTTTTAACTTTTCCCGGTCAACTGTTTTCAACCTTTGACCTCTAATTAAATAATATTGTTTTTTAATTAGATAAAATAATATTTTGAAAATATTTGATATAATAAATCAAATAAAACTATTTTTGTATCAATATCTAATATAATTTTTATTTAATTTAAGGTTAAAGTTTACCAATTTTGACCGAAAAACTCCAAAGTGGACAAATACTCAGGGACGGAGGGAGTATGTCCTAACTTAAGTTGCTACTCACATTATTTATCCATTTTTGCTACTCAGTTGGTAAAATAAGTAGTCTTGCCTGATTTGTAAAACTCTTGATTTAGTTTTGAAATATACTCCATATAAATTTACTCCGTATTCTTTAATTCTACACCAATTTTTAAATAAAATGATCATAAAATATTTTTAGTTAAACATCATAAACAATATGCAATTTAAATTGAGACGGAGGAAGCATGAAAAAACAATTAAGAAAAATGAACACTCATACGCTAAAAATACAAGAACATAAACCATTTGCAAAATTAAGTTAGGCACTTCGGCATGGGCACACATAGTAGTATTGTACCAACTTGAAAGGCTATTGTTGTCATTTTCAGAAAATATAGAGACGAGTTGAGCGCCTTTAGCAACTTGTGGAGCGCATATATCAATTCCCATGGTGTTTGGAGAAACAATCCGGCGAAGAAAAATCCCAGCGGAGTCTCTGGTCCGGCGTGCGAATCGGCGAAGTCCCCCCGGTTGCGTGTGAAACGGTATGCCTTACACATTTCCGTTTCTTTCCCTTATTATTATTATCATCATTATTATATGGGATATGCTTGGGTACACCAAAGGTATACCCAAATGTACACCACTTACATCTACACCATTCATTTTATTTTCTTTTTATTTTTTACTTTTTTGAAATCTTCTTGCCTTTTTTGTGTGGTGATGGAAGGGATGTAGGATGTTTGGGGTACTTTGGTGTACCCTAGCATTTTTCTTATTATATTATTAAATCTCTTCACATTAATTTAGTGAATTCTAATGACTATTTTTCTCGACACAGTTCACACGAAATTCCAAATTTGACAAACAATATGTAGTTGGTTGCCTTTTCTCGAGACCTATTCAAAAACCTAATTTTTAATTAAAATGGTCAACTTTACAATTAATTCATATTTTGAAGTCAATAAATAATATATTCATTTTTTTAAAATAACGGTTAACTTCTAAACTGAATTTCAGGGCATTACATTTCTCTCCACTTTAAAAAAAGGAATTTCGTTCTCGAAATTCTTGATAAAGAGTGTAAAGTAAATGAACTTCTACACATTTTTTTAAATAAAAAAAACAATACGTATATTTTTTTTCCTTTCAAAAACAAGACATTTCTTTTTAATCAATCTAGAGAGATAGGGTTTGGCAGTCAGCTCGAAGAGAGAAAAAATGGCTTCATTTGGATCTATCAGACAGGCTATATATGATAGAGAATCCAGAAAACAGTATGTCTCACACCTTCGCCTTCGATATATTCTTTTTTTCCCATAGATTTATGCTTGCGCTGATGTGCAGTACTATATTTGCGTGGATGGCTTCAATGCTCTCTGTGCAGGCAATACCAAGCTCACATACAAGGTCTCAATGCTTATGATCGCCACAAGAAGTTCCTCAGTGACTATGGTCAGCTTTTATGGTTTTCTCTCTCAAATTATCTGCGGCACTTTCACTTTGAATTGCAGTTTCTTCGGCGTTTGAATCGACTTTGTTGATGTATTCTTGTATGGGAGACAGGACCAAATGGTTGTTCGTTAAGGACCAAACGGAAGAACTCAACCCAAAAGAGTCTTTTGGGTTGAGTTCTTCCGTTTGGTCTGTAATAGTGGTATCAGAGCCAACTTGGAGTGGTGGCCCACGGAGTGGTGGCCTGGTGAAACCAGCCGTGACCAACGTAGCCGTGACCAATGAGGACGTTGGGCCTTATGGGGGGTCGAATAATACGGACTGATTTCATTGTCCCACACCCGTTAAATGGGGAACTTGGTGATGAGTTTATATAGCCAAGGGTTCTCCCACCTTAACAACTAGCTTTTAGGGTGTGGTTCTCCCTTGTGTTGTATCAGATTTTTTAGGATGTAAATGGGAAGTCTTATTTTTCTTTTTGTGGTGAATTATTGGACACCATATACACAAACAAATAGTTATACTCTGTATTTGTTTGATCTCGATGTCCTACAACATTTGGGCGATTCTTAGTCCCCTTCTTTCACCTTCTTCACCATGTGAAGGAAGGCTACGATAACCCTACACTTTCTTTTCCTGAAATGTCTAAAAATGACCTCTGAAATGTCTTTCTTCCACAAATTTATTTCATTGTTTATGAAATGCATATCCCCAATAAGACAATTTTGTAGTTCAAGTTATCTGCTGCAATTTCACTTTGAATTTCAGTTCCTTTTGCATCTCAATCGATTTTGTTGATATTCTTGCATGGGAGCCATGAGAAATCGTTGCTTGGCAGCATTCTTTTGGACCTAAGAGAAATTTTGGAACTAAGACTCCTCTGTTTTGATTTTTGGAATGTAAACAGGGAGTCTTATACTCTTATTCTTCTTTGCGGTGAGTAATTGGACACCATGTACCCAAATAAATAGTCGTACTCTGTATTTGTTTGATCTCGGTGTCCTACAACATTTGGGCGATTCTTAGTCCCCTTCTTTCACCTTCTTCACCATGTGAGGGAAGGCTACGATAGCCCTACACTTTCTTTTACTAAAATGTCTAGAGATGACCACTGAAAGGTCGCTCTTCCCTAAATTTTTGTCATTCTTCATGAAATGCATATTGGCAATTTGACATAAGTTATGAGTCTCTATTCTCTTTATAAGTTATACCTATTTTCAAGTATTTGTTAGTTGTTGCCTTTAGGTTTTCAGTAAAGGGTATTCATATTTAGTACTCTGTAAAAGTATAATGACTGGACTTAAGGGTTGCATGCAAGTATTGAGGTTTGTATTTGTTAAATCCTGGTGTCCTACATCATATGAATAATGAACAGCTTTCCTCTTCAGAGTCAAAAAGGGAAGCTACAATTATTTGTACATATGCTTAATCACATGCTTGCATTTTCTGCACCATAATAAGCACATGTTAATTTTCTGGCTATATGAGGAGCCGTGCTATTTAAGTTTCTTAAGAGGATTGGTCATTCTCTTAGACAATCTTTTGATTGTTTGCAGCTGCCTTTTATGGAAAGGACAGATCAACACAAGATGTTTTGCCTGATAAAACTGATGAAGACACACTTAGAGAAGGGTACCGGTAAGCTCAAATTCTTCCTATTTCAGTAGAAAGATTAAAATCATTTTAGGTGGAACTCATAACTAAAGGCCACAATGCCTGGTCCTCTAAATTATTTAATTTTGTATAGAAAGAGTTGTGGTATGGGAAAATTCTTTTGGCCATCTATCTTAAAACAATTTTGTTTTAGCCTGAAATCTCTGTCTAGCTTGGGTTATTTCTTTGATAGATTTTGAACTCTATCTCTTTCTTCTAAGGTTTATACGAACAGAGGAGGATGATATGGATCCTTCTTGGGAACAAAGGCTTGTGAAGCGCTACTATGACAAACTTTTTAAGGAGTATCCTTTTGGAAATCTGTTTTAACAAAGTCAACACTAGTATACCAAACGATATTATGTCACATGTGGGAGCCTCTCTATCTGCATTTACGGATGAGTATGATATATTGATCTCATAGTATGCATTTATTTATTCATGATGCTACAAAACATATTTTTTTGTTTTTTCTTCTTCATCCCATGTACTCCATCCCTCTTGAATTAATCATCTCACTCCACTATTCATAGCTCAAATTCTTTTCTTTCTTTACTCATTTTTGTTAATCATTTATTAAAATAATATAGTCATGAGTCATGTCATCTTTTCTTTTATATAGAATTTGATTTAGTTTGTTAATATATAAATATTATTGTGAAATTTGTATCATTATTTAAGTAAATTGGATTGAAAATAAAGTTACTCAAGCTTGTAATCGCAATGAGATGATTAATTTAGGACTAAGGGAGTATAATATTTGCTGATGAGTATCGTTTTGCTACTTTTTATAGCTATATCTGATTTATCATTTACCGTACTCATTGCATATTCAGTGTGTAATTTCTTAATTCTTTAAAGGTATTGCATAGCCGATATGAAACATTACAAAAGTGGAAAGGTATGTCCTTTCAAAGATTTGGGAGCTTAAATTTTGGAGTAATTTTTTTTCACCCTGTCCCAGTTGCAACTTAGTTTAAACTTTAATAAAAACTGTGCTCAAACAAAGTAGGCAAGTTAGTTTGGAACAAAGGATTATAATGACAGCCCATCTGTCCCAAGAAAAGCTGTTTCAAAGTCTTTTTTCTGTGTCTTGGAAAGAGTCCTCGGTCAAAGGAAACTAACTTTTAATGCTGACTTGCCACCTACAAGCATGGTAAATATGACAAATTTAGTTAAAACAATATATATAATTTAAAAATATAACTTTTGTACCTTGTCAAAATGAAAAAAAGAGTTGTACCTCGACCAAACATGACTTTTTTGGGGAGTATGTAGGCGCTAGTAGTTTGACCAATGTGCAAATTGACCTAAATTATTGTCCTTAGCACTTTAGTTTTTCTTAAATAATTACTTTGGCTTGCTTGGTGATGTACGGCACTTACTCTTTGTTTTCAATTGTTTTAGATTGGTCTAAGATGGAGGACTGAAAAGGAAGTAATATCTGGGAAAGGTAACATTCATCATCTCTTGGTTTATTATTATTATTATTTTTAAATTATCAAATGATTTGTAGGCAAGTCTCACTTACATTCATGGATATCGAAATATTAGTTTATGTTTGATTAGATGCTACCGATGTACCGTTCATGTTTTCTAATTTGTGATGCATTTGAATAACTGATAATTTAATGTGAATATAATGGTTCACGCTTGACTTGCTCCAACATGTATTAAACTTCCTTAAGTTGATTGACTTGATTGTGCACCTAGCTGGATGCCTATTTAATTGTTTCTAGTATGGATCGGTGTGTTGAATCTGCTCATTACCCACTCATTTGCCCATTGAACTGTTGGCTTGTACATAATTGCACTACTAGGGTAATAATCATGGGTTACCACTTTTCATCGTTCCTTTTTATCTATGCATTTTAGAAATCTTGCACATTATTTTATTTTTGTTCTCCAAGTTATTCATACTTTTCAATTAACCCTTAACCCAAAGGAATATCAACAATAGTGTCGCTCAACAAGGTCACCTTAGTGTCTAGACAAGTATTGAATTGTTTGATGAATTTATAATCCCAAATATTTCTTTAAACCACGTGATTTGGTCAACCTAGGTAGATAAATAAGAACAAAAAGAGATGAGTTTTTTGGAAAATTTAGATATGGAGTTTTTTCTTGTTGCTTATTTTAAGCGGCTTTTACACTTTTGGTGATTGGTAAATGAAATTAAATGTTTTTTAATCAGATTAAACGTCATAAACCAAATGCAACTTAATCAAGTATCTATTCATTTTTTGCTTCTATATGTCAAAAGCAATAAATTACTCATACATATGCTTATTTCTTCCCCCCATAATGTTTCTAAAACACTCCCTATTTCATTGCCTTAAGGGAAAAAACTTCTTTAAATGTGTTTAGATGATTCAATCCATTCAGCTCATTCAAATTTAGCACATCCAAGCATTTTTTTTCATTCCATCCAAAACATCCCCTACCCCAGCAATGGGCTCTAAATCCTTTAAAACATTTTAATTTCTTGTCCCCTACAATGCAAACTACATCTAAAATGATAATACCCTGTCAGCTTATTGCTTTATGATTCAATGGCTTTTCCCCATCTCTATCTTTTGGTTGGTTCTGAATTACAATGGCTTGAGAACTGAATGCTCCTTAGCAATTGTTGCGTTCTTCATGATTTAGTCAAAGGCTTCAAGTAAGTTTTCTTGGTTTCAGGACAGTTCGAATGTGGTAATAAGTATTGCAACCAAAAAGATGGTCTAGCTAGCTATGAGGCAAGTCTATGCATGTAATTAGCGAAACAATATAGAATATTCCATTGCTCATGGTTGGTCAAAAGTTTTATGCTCTCATTTTTCCAAGTTTATTTAGCCAAACCTTTTATATGACAGATTACCTCATCAATTTTTTTTCAGGTAAACTTCTCATATGTTGAAGCTAGAGAAACCAAACAGGCCCTCGTAAAGCTGGTGGCTTGTGAGAGGTGATTTCCTCATCATGGCAACATGGTGTTTTTTGGATGAGATTTTTGGGGTTTTTTGGAAGATAGAAAATACAAGAGAAAGAAAGTAGGGAGGAAAATGAAATAAAATTTTTAGGAAAACAAAATATAGATTCAAACTCAAGTACTTGTTATTTACTTTTGACATTTTTTAACTAGTTGTATCTTACTTAATTCATTTTACTGCAGATTAAAAAAATTAAATTTATGCTTTAATGGATTTAATATAATTATTATATTTCATTTTCCTTTGCATTTTCTAGGGTAGTTCCAAACATTAAAAAATAACTTCCCATGTTAGTGTTTCTGCCAAGCAATTCTTGTGATTTGAACAAACCACTATTGAACCAGAATAGTGCTTAAATTGTCCTTGATGTTTTCCCATGTTATAGATTCAAAGTGGCTATTGCTAACCAACTAATTGCTTTATTACTTTTATACCCTCAAGTTTGACTCAGCTACATGAAAGTTTATGTTACACTTACTCGTATTATCCGAATAACTACTCCATAGGCCGCAATTAGATTTTTCATTTGGTTGGTGAGGGCACAAATGATGTCACACTTTTGGGTAATAGTTGAAGTTTTCATATCTAAGTCAAGCTAACGTTGTTTTGTATTTACTTCATTTTGTTGAAGATGTGCTGAGAAGCTTCTATATAAGAAACAGAAAGAGAAGGAACAAATGAAAGAACAGGAAAGGAAAAGGTGCTAAGTTTTCATCCCCATTCACACCATCAATGGTATGTATATATGGCAAATTTTCCCATGTGGAACTAAGACTTTGAGTGCTTCCAGGGAAAGATCTGAAAACGATGACGAGCATGAGAGAAAGAAAGAACGGAAAAAAGGTTTTGATCCTTAAACACTTCTTTGTCGTTCACTTATATTATTGAGTGAATTCTCTAAACATTCCTTTATAACAGGGAGGGGGTCCAAAATAGTCCTCTATTCCCAATTATTCTCTCCGTGCTCCTCTATATTTGAGAACTATTTCTATTATGAGTTCATGTCTGTGTGTGTCGTTTTGGTATCAAATGCGGGGGTTCCCTAGCAAAGTTCATATACTTTTTTTGTTTGACTAATAATTACAAGTACTTTTTTAGGATCTAAACCTTCATCGTCATCAGGCAAGGACCATAGTAAAACTCACAAGAATGATGAGAACTTTGAGGAGTATCTGGAGGGAATGTTCCTTTGAAACCGGCTGCTGAGTGTTACTCCTAAAGGTCTTTTATGCGCAACTACATGTATGTCTCGGCTTCCATCCACATTTCTTCAGCATTGAGCCTTGTAAAATCCTGTTTATTTGACACACCCTTTGACTAGATAAGTTGGATGACAACCATCCCCCAGTTGGGGGGGGGGTGTTTGGGAGTGTGTTTTGAAATAGTTTCTAAGCTTCTACTTCACTCAAACATAATTATAAGTTGGATGACAACCATCCCATTGGATGCCTTTCTCAATGGCTTTAGCCTCGATTTCCTCAATGTTATTTGGTCTAGTTCTGTAGGAAAAACCACCAAGCCATTCTCCTCTATTGTTGCGAATGACTCCGCCGCACCCCGCCCTGTTAGCCATAACTTTATTGCTTCCATCAACATTAAGAGTGAATTCGTGATCAACTGCCGGATTCCATTTTAGTAGAGGATCCCTTGTATTCATCAAAGAGGGGGTTGATACCTGATTTTTGTCGAATGCCCTTTCAATCTCAGCGATTGATCCCTTAATCCAAGCCACTTTATACTGGGTGTCAAGATCATCCCCACCGAAGGCAACGTTGTTTCGCCACCTCCAAATCCACCAACATGTGACGGCAAAAGTGGCAGCCCAATTATTGTTGTCGTGNGATTCCATTTTAGTAGAGGATCCCTTGTATTCATCAAAGAGGGGGTTGATACCTGATTTTTGTCGAATGCCCTTTCAATCTCAGCGATTGATCCCTTAATCCAAGCCACTTTATACTGGGTGTCAAGATCATCCCCACCGAAGGCAACGTTGTTTCGCCACCTCCAAATCCACCAACATGTGACGGCAAAAGTGGCAGCCCAATTATTGTTGTCGTGTCTGCCTTTCTTTTTCCTTAAATTGTCGCCAACCCATCTCCTCATTTCCGTGTGATCTCCATTACAACCCATACCTCCATTGTCAATAAAATTCCAAATTTGTCTTGCTTTTGGGCAAGTTTTAAAGATGTGAGAGGTGGTCTCATCGTTGCCGCAAAGTGGGCAAGAGCTATCCGAAGTGAGTCTTCTTTTCTTTCGCTCGGCATTTCCCATCACCTTCTCATGGCAGATAGTCCACAAAAGAAGCTTCATCTTACTTGGCACTTTAATCTTCCAAATCATAGACCACACTTCTTCCTGCACATTGTTAGCAAATCTCCTAATTAGATTATAAGCCGACTTAATTGAAAACTTACCTGTAGGATCGTGCTTCCAGTAGAATTCATCAGGGGTGTTAGTGTCCAACTCCATAACCCGGCACTGCATAAAAGAAATAATGTTAGGTGGGAGGTTTGGAATTTTCTCCCAACTCCACCCACGAGAGCCATTCCAAAGTTCAGCAACAGTGGCATGCGGATCATGTCCGCTGCCAAACTCTTGCACCAAATCGCAAAGTGGTTTTTCACCGATCCAAGTGTCAAGCCAGAACCTCGTCATTTGCCCATTATGAACGCGACAGTGAATGTCAGCTTCAATCAGAGGCATAACTGTCATGATTCCTCTCCAGGCATTAGATGCTCCCTTCCTGTACCCAAAAATATTTTTCCCACCTTTCCCTTTAGCATATTTAGCAATCAAGATTTTGGACCAAAGAGATTCTCCTTCACTGAGTAGTCTCCAACCAAGTTTAGCAATGAAGGCTTGATTCATTTCCTTGGCAGTTTTGATCCCCAGGCCACCCAATTCTTTTGGCTTTGTGACTTGTTCCCAGTTTACAAGGTGGCACCTACGGTTATCACTTGTGCTGCCCCATAGAAAGCCCCTCACTTTTCTATCAATAGCTTCCAAAACCCCTGTCGGTAGCATCGTTGATTGCATGGCATAGTAAGGAATGGTGGTAAGTGCGGACTGGGCGAGAATTCTACGACCGGCCATTGTTAAGAGCTTGGTTCTCCAGCCTTCCAATTTTGTATCTAGTCTATCAAGAATAGCACCAAACATGTCATTTGTGACTCTTCCGTGGATAGAAGGGACTCCTAAGTATTTTCCAAGGTCATAGGACCTGGGGATATTAGCAAGCTCAGTGATTCCCCTCGCCTCTTCAATCGAAACATGCTTTGAAAAAAAGATTTAGGACTTGTGGAGACTGACTTTCTGTCCAGAAGCTCGGCTAAATTTATCAAGGCACTCTTTAATGATCTTGATTTGATCTTCTGTGGCCTCTGCAAAAAGAACTAAATCATCAGCAAAAAAGAGATGAGAAAGTGTAGGACCATACCTGGACGAGCAGATTCCCTTCCATTTCCCTCTCTGAACAGTGTCTTTAATAAGATGAATCAGTCTTTCCATGCATAAGACAAATAAGTAGGGCGAGATGGAGTCTCCTTGCCTTATTCCTCTCGAAGGTTGGATCCACTCAAGCTGCTTACCATCCTAAATCACACTTACCACACAAGCCATGATGTTCCTTGTCCAATCCTTGCTCAACCCAATTTCATTTAAGGTGTCTTTTATAAAATTCCAATCGAATCAATCATATGCTTTCTCAAGGTCAATCTTGAGGACCATATACTTTTTCCCTCCTCGCTCTTTACGCATGGTATGGAGGACCTCTTGGTAAATCAGAATGTTATCAACAATTTGCTTTACGAATTTGATAATTGATTTGATCTGTTTAAAATTTGATTCTGATATACATCTGTTTAAATAACCGTTATTTGAATATTCGTTTATCCAAATATTGAATTAAAACTTTTTTAATAAATATTACCTCTGTCCTTGAGTATCTGTTTAGTTTTGATTTTTTCAGTCCACTGTTCTCAACCTTTAATCTATAATCAAATAAAATATATATTATATATTAATTAGATAAAATAATATTTTGAAAATATTTAATACTAGTATAATAAATCTAAAAAAATTATTTTTGTATCAGTATTTAATATTATTTTTTATTTAATTTAAAATCAAAATTTACCAATTTTAACTGAAAAAATCAAAAGTGTACTTATCTTAAGAGACGGAAGGAGTAGTATATAATTTAAACATCTATCTAGCCCATTATATTAGTCTAGATATCCAATATAATCTTAATATCTACCCAGCCCATTAATATAGCCCAGATATCCAAAACTCTAGATTATAACTTTACCTCTAATCTTAACCATTACTCCATTACTCCATTTATTCTCTATCCATGGATGAGATGATGACCAAAGGAATGAGCACGTAAACAGGTTCAATGTCTAAGAAGGTGAATAAAGATCGTTTGGCAGAGGCAGTTACAATTTTCATGAACTCATTCCAGAGAGTATGTTCAAAACAAGATCAATACGACATCGAAGGCTAGCGGGAAAGAAATCCATGACATTTCAAAAGTGGATGGCATATTTCTTCATCAAGTTTTGAAGACAGTTAAAAAATTTATGAATATGCCAAATGAGTTTCAAATGCTCAAGGATTTGCTTGAAGAAAAGAAGCTGGATTGGATTTTGATGTGCTTGGAAGAACGATCGAATTATGAAAAATTACGAAATATTAAACATATACTTCATGTATTAGTATGTATTTTTATGAAGTAATTGATCATTATGTTATTTGAGATTATGTTAACAATATTTTGTTCATTAATCATTTGAAATGAAATTCTAATACTTGTTAAGCAACATCAGAATTTAAATGCTAGAATTGAAATTATAAATTTCCCAAACATCATTTGAATATGAAATTATGAATGATGAATTCCTTGTGTTTGCCAAACACCAAAAATGGAATTTGAATAATAGGATTTTAGAATTGAAATTCAAAATTTGAAATTAATTCCCATATCCAAAAACTGCCTTAAGGACTTCTCTCAGTACTCTGTATTTGTGTTAACCTTTGGGAGATTAGGGCCCGCCTAAACAGTTTGTCAAGGAGAGCCCAGCCCGGAAACAATAAAAGACATCGGGTTAGGGTTTGCTCATAACTTCACAGTGTTCTGTATCCACTGGGTAAGCCCTTGGCATTTCTTCTACGCTGCCAGCTTCAAATTCAATGGCTAAACTGGTGACGCAGGGCAATTGCCGGCACGAATCGGCGTGTGACGCGGTGGATCACTCTCTGCTCAACCGGATCATACTTAAGCGAGTGGATTGGGGGATGAGATTTTGTGGAATCTAAGTCTGAAGTATTTGGCCGGCGATGGGTTTCACAAATGGATAGCCTTTGTCTTTTGTCTCAAAAACTTCACAAAGTCGCAATGACCATTTCACGACTGCCGATACCCCCCAACATGGAGCCTGGTGGTTGGAGTCTGGCTTTTTCGAAGTTGTTGAAGCCGAAACTCTGCCCTGAGCCTGGTACTTGTAGTGGTAGTGATGAATCACATTGAGCACATATTCACCGCGTCCAGAAACACAGCCGATCTGTGTACCCTACGTCACCCTTGAATTTGAATCTTGGTAAGGAGAGGAATTTGCAAATGCAGAATAATATGTTCTATTCCACTTTCTCATTACTTATGTGTCCACATTTGCAATTTCCTCTACATACCCTTAGCTTATTTTGTTTCATTGATTTTTGAGAAAAAATTGTTTATCTTTTGTTTCACCATATAGATTTCGCCTTCAAGATTTACTGAGTTTATCCGGATCAATGTGGTTTTATTTTTCATGTATTCATCTGTTCGTATGCATCCCTGTGATGAAACATTTAGTAATCTGAACTGGTGGTGCTCCCTCTCGTCCTGTTGCGGGAGGTGGAGGAACCCGTGGCGGCTTCTTGCCAGGTTGATATCAGGCATTGCTGAGGGATGAGGATTTAACTATTTTAAATGTTTTATAGATTTGTTTTTTTCTCTTAAACATGTTTTTGTTTTCTGTGTTTCTTAAACATGATCATCCTTGTAACATTCAACAATGTCCTTTGCTGCCCTCACCAGTAAGAGTGAGGGGAACACATTTTTACATTAAAAAATGGTTGGAGTTGATCAAGACCATGATTATGCTCTTTCTTTCTTGTAATGGATGATGTTAGTGGCTAATGGCTATTTAATTACTTTTACGGTTGTACATTATGCTTTGAGAATCTTAAGGCAATAAATTGAATAAGATTCTTGAATTTTCACAACTCCTGTCTATGGGAGAACATGAAATTATGAATTAGAGACTCCTTTCTCTTGCACACATTTAATAGGGTGTTTCGAGCCTAGCCTTGGGAGGACACCAACCAGATAAAGAAGACAGATTCAAAAAAGAGGTAACACCTCTTCTTTTTTCTACCAGTATTTTTTTTTAAATTTATTGGATTTTCAGAAATTGGAGATTCATAGATGGTTTTAGAAAGTCAGTTTGGTGTACTTTTTTTTCAGATTTCGTTCTAATGTGAGTGGGTCTACCTTAACTTTTGTTTGAGTTTCTTAACATAGTCGTAGTTTGGGAATTGGTTTTGAAATTGAAATGGTAGAAAAGCACGGGAGGCGGGGGGGACTGCCAATGGGAATTTGTTGGTGTGCCGCGGCAGTGCATCAGCAAGCCAGAGAAGAAACAGAGGAGGCACCTGCGTAGCCACAACCTCCCAGACACAGTATCTTGCTAAAAAAGGCACATAAATACTTAATAATATACTTGTGATTTGTCTCTACTTTCTTTTGTTCAATTATATCAATGTTGGCAATGAACTTTGCTCAAGCACTTAAGTCTTTAGTGGTTCACAAAGCTTCAAATGTGGTTGATAAATAAGGTATATCAACTTCTCGCATCCCCCTCTTCCATTTTAGCCGTTGCAATGGCTCTTTTTTAATTATTTTTTCAATTCCTGTTTTAATCGAGTACTTGTTTCTCCCCATCTATCAGTCTTTTTCTTCATTTTTTGGATTATATCAATGCAATTTTTAATTTAATGAATTATTTTTTTTAGAGCTCTTATTTTAAGTTAATTTTGATTTAAATAAAGGAAAAAATGTTAGCGTGATGGGCGTGACCCACACCCCTATCCAGTTATAAGCTGTGATGGAAAATAGAAAAGTTGATGTGATGTTTAGCGGCAGGGAGTGATACCAATCTAGAGTCAAGTTTTTTACTAATATTTTCCCGAAAATAACAAAATTTATAGCTAAAGGGACATAGTCACTTCTAAAATAAGAATGTACAATAGCTAAGCAAAATAACAAAATTGTAGCAGAAAATGTACTTATACACTTGCATCTTTTTTGGCCCACTCAAAGATCATTTTCAATTGAACTAGCAAGAATAGTTTGATGGGGATCAATCTCCGAAGCAAGTGTTTAAAAAACTACTCGGAGTTTCTAAAAGGAGGTCTCGGTGGACCCACTTTCACTATTTATTTCCAATCTCCTTGCAAATCTCAATCTCTCAATCAACTCGCCCTCTCCTTGTCTCTTTCCTCCCCTAGATCTAATCTTCGCCACCCAACTTCAAGTGAAGCCGATGCCCTCGTTCGAAGTTATTTTTTGGTTATTGCTGTCAGTCAAATTTGTCTTCCGATCACCGTTGCCCTTGTCCAGATTTGTTCTCTGATGGTTATTGCCCTCGCACAAATTTGTTACTTGATCGTCACCACCGCGCAATCCACGTCCTTTCACTGTCGTCCAAGTTGCGAGGGAGCAATAACCCGTGATCGTCTTCGATTGTGTCTGTAGCTTCCCACAAAGAAATTGCCTCCGCCATCACCGTTCCAATCGTTGGTGTGGTCGCTACTTTTCATAGCCCAAGCCGGAAAAAGGAAGGGCATCTTTGTTGCACCAAAACCACTTCTTCCCTTGAGATTGGTGGGCTATTTTTATTTCAGATTTACATCTTACATTGCGTTGTGTTTTCCAGATTTAGAGGGGGGCATTTTTGGGAAGTTAAAATCATATTTCATCTCCCTTAAAAATGAAACTCATTCAAATCGAGAAGATCATTTTATGACAGAAGAAGTATGTTAGAAGTGCATTTTGGGGCATATTTTTGTTTGATCACTCAAACATGAGATTTTTTATTATCCTTCTGTCCTAATTAAAATCAAACATGTTTTTGTTTACGATATTTAACTGGAGTTCTTTTCAACACAATTTATCTAAGAATTGAAGAGGAATTCATAAATGAAATTTACATAATAAAAAATTACATCAAAAAATTACACAGTATGAAAATAGTGTTAAGAAAATAGAGTTTTTTCGAATGAGTAATGAAAATAGAGAGAAAGTAATCAAAATTTTATCCTATGTATAGAAAACATGCAACTTAAACAGGAACAAGAGAATGTCAAAATTGCCCATCAATATTTGGCTCATAATGTTAAGTGTCATCATTTGTTCAATCCAACAACATTAGCACTAAAGTATATAATGTCAAAAGACACCCAGATATCCTCTGAGGTGGGATCTAAAGGGAAACACACATCCATAGACTTTTTATCTATATGCCAAGGAATGACAAAAACAAAGGTAATATAGTTAAAGTGTAAAACATTATTTTTTTTCTTTTCAATAAAAATTTTATAAGAATAATACAATCTGATAGTACACACTACACAGAACCATTATTCAATGTACTGGGTATTTATTTAGGGCAACTATACAGAACCTTTATTAATAAATGTACCTTTCAAAGTTGTGCATAAGTAGCTTTACAGTAGCCATTTCTATATATAACTGAAACATACACCACAAATATAGTCACCAAGTTGATGATTTGATCTCAAGTTTCTGCTTGGAGTTGAAGTTGTTCCTGTGCAGAATTTTTAATAAAAAAATGAGACACCAAATTTATAAGAATTAAAAGCAAATTAACACACACAACTGCCACCACACAAGTAGGATCTGTTTGGAAGACAGAAAATACTAAAGAAAAGAAAGTGGTGAAGACTCTTCGAAATATTGACTCAAGATGCTAAATATAGAAATTACTCATTTTCTTGAAGTATCTCTATAACATGACAATAAATGTAAAAAGATAAACTTATTTAATTCTCCATACCATTTGCAAACTAAGAATGAACAGCGAGTTGTTTCAGAATGACTGAACAGGCTTTAGAATGAACACTACAGGTGAAAATGAACATTCTATTATTCAAAATGAACATTATGTTGATTCAAAATGAATATTTTTGGGTGTACCTAGCTCTACGCCGGCCGGGTGTATGGGATATGTTCTCATAAAAAAACATTTTCAGAAATCCAAACATACCCATGAAGCAGCAGTATTGTTTACAATTAAGAAAAATGTTGTACTACATAGTATATGCTTAGTATGTACAGTGATACACTTTCTCCCTCTATCCCAAAATTAGGTTCCACAATTTACCGAGCCCGGTAACTAAAAAAAGTAAAAGTGTGGTTGAGTTTTGTAGTACAAGGGAGAGAAATTGTGTTAACTACAAAATTCTTTCCCGGGAACCTTTTTTGGAACAAAAAAAATAATATATGGAACGTCTTTATGAGATGAGGGGAGGGCTTATACATCTAGGTGTATCATAGTAATCGCACATGCAAAATATACAAATGGACATTAATTTTCAATTTCGTTAGGGAGAAACCATCATGGTTAAATGAGCATTCTTTAGTAGGAAAAATGTTCGTGAAAAATGCATGAGAAGATCAAATGAAATGAAGATTATATATAGAGGAACACCCAAAAAATAAACATAAAAGTACAATATAATCTGCTGTATAAGCACAGGTTGGATGCACATATTTTCAAATTTATTCATGGTTATCTATTGCTATTATGCATAAATTAACTTTTAGTCATTCATTTATATTGTTTCGACACACTTGCGGTTTCATATTAACAAACAATGCTGGTTTGAGCTTATTTTATAAGGCTTAATGAGTGCACTTGATCTGTTCAGAGTTCAGACAGGGCCATTAATGGTCAAAAATATCATTAGTAAACATGCAATTTATGCATATTACTCAAAAGCACTTGGCGATACTATGGACATTTTAATAGGTAATAGAATATATACCTCAGTCACGAAGAAGGCATGGAATCCATAAGGAACTCGTTTGGGCAATTCAACAACAGCAACAGGATCAGATGACATTGTTTTGGCATCAATTACATTCACCGCTGATTTCCTGTTTAAATTATTCATGAATTCTAATCAGAACACAATTTTTTAGTCTTGTTAGTCTAGCTAAAAGTAAAAGATGGTCAACAACTTGGGCTCCATTTGCTTCCAGTAAGATATATTTCCAGAAAATGTTGTGGATGTTCTTGTGCTAGGCACCGGGGAAAAATTCTCTCTATTCTTTAAATGTATTTTTGATGACTTCCTCTTTTGAAACAATTTTTAAGGTGCATTATGTATTTGTTAAACCAACCATTTTTTCAGAAAAATAAATTTCACAGATTATCCTAACGATCAAATGGATAGCTAAAACATTCCCTTAGAAGCAGAAAAATAATTTAGAAAATGTTTTTCGATGTAAAGGAAATCCTATATAATGCTTTACCAGAAAATAAATGGCTGTATGTATTATATAATGACCCACAAAAGTTAAAAGAATCACAGGGAAATTCTTTCCACTTGTGTCAAGTGCCAAATGCAGGAAAATATGCAAACCATTTTACAGGGAATTAGATCTGGGGCCTAAGAAGATCACCAATGATGGTTTAGGCAGCATATAGGGTAAAGCGGCGTACCCGGTGGTCTCATCATGTACAAAGAATATCAAGTAGCCATCGTCCTCTTCGCATGTGGTACCTGGCTGACGAGGAACAAAAACAGCCTCAGAACCAAATTTGGATGGACCAAGGTCAAAAATGCCTTGTACATTCCCTCCCACTTCAAGCTGTGTTTTCATGGTCTCTGGTTCAGCATGCAGATCAAATTTGATGACCCCCTTGACCTTGGCAATGTTATTTAGTATGGTCCCATATACATATCGCTGTTTCCTGAATTTGCAAAGCCACTACTAGTATCATGTTCAGGTATAATTTCAGGTAAAGTTTTAGATTAAAAGGTAATGAGACAAGATTTGTGGCATAGCAAATCCGAATACAATTTAAATCCATTCAAAAGAATGTTAGTATGTTAGTGGATCCAAACTGCAATTTTTTTCCAATTTCTGTAATGTAGTATTTAAATTTGAATACTTGAATGGGTGGTGGTTTTACATTTTGTCCTTTCATACCTTTTACCTAAAACTTCAAGAGAACTAAATCTTGCACCTAGAATTTTTGTTATTTTTCTGTAAGAGCTTTACATACAGAAACTATGTTCCTCGTGGTTTATTAAAATTTAAAGATAGAACACACCCTATGAAAGTTCTCACCTCCCAGTGTAATTCTCATTCACCCGTGGAAAATCAACAGAAGACTCGGACAGTTTCTTCTGTGAAGCTTGACAACTTTTCATGTTAAATCTCATCTCGTACCTGGCAAACATGAAATGAATCACTGCTCTCGGTAAATAGTCAACCAAAGTGAAAATTATGAGCAATGTCAATGGGATCTCAATCTCAAAACCTACAACTCATTTGCAAAATTCTCAAGATCTTTTTTGACAGGTCCATTGACCATATCGAGATCCAGATTTTCAAGACGGCATGTAATCAGAACAACTTCATCCCCTTCCTCCCATGCATTTGCTAGAATGAGTTCAGAAAAAGAAATGAGGGTCAGAATTTAAGTACAAAATGAAGAAAATTTAAAGAATAATGATAGGAGGATCACACTGACCATATTATTTACACACTAACACCCTACATGAAATTGCCCTTTGCCTTCAAAAAATTACTTCTCCCACCATCCAACTATTTTTGGATTGTAGTGGCACACAAATTTATGAAAAGTAGAATTATGTGTGATTTTAAATTGGTAAAGTATGCATTGATTCCTCGTAACCCCTCCTCCCGGCCTTGATCACAAATTTGGGCTGCCCAAATTGGTGATCTAGGGGGTCTGGGGTGGGTGCTGGGAGGGGGAAGGAGGTTTGGGGGATTAGGAGGGGTAGGAACCGTCAGTTTTACCAACAGAGCACCGTAGGTGCCCCAAAATGCCTGGGTCATTCTTGGGTCATTTTTGGCTTAGGTCAAAGGAAGCTTGCCCTAAAAGTAATGATTCCAAAGGGTGAATGTAACCATGAAGTAAACCATGGTGGCCTTCTAGCACTTTTCATAATCAAAGGGCAGATAATCACTTCCAGAGATTTTACATGGTCACAATTAGAACAGAATCAAAATTGCAATTAAGTACAGGGATGAAAACTTCAATCTATTGCTGTTCTCTCTTGCTCATTTACAGTAAGATATAAAAAGAAACTTCAATTCTAGATTTAGTTGCAATTAGGAGAGTATGCGATAATCACCACACTCCTTTCAAAGGTTTCTGAAGTTGACCTCTCCAAAGATTTTAATTACAAAAGAAAAGCGTATCTATCACACCAAGAGGAGTTATAGACAGTTAGACACCACGTGAAAAGGGAAAACTAAAATTGTGAGTAATTCTTATACTCCGTATGTTTCAGTGGCTAATAATTCTACCAGCTTGAACAGCATCTACTCACTGGATACATGATTTCTTTTTAAAATATATTTTGTTCCTAGTGTGCTAAGGAAGACACTGAAGGTTGCACTGAACTTTTTCTAATACATGAAAAAGAACACATTTTTTTTTGGAATTTGGATTATCTATATACACATTATGCAGCTCACAAGTCAATTATTTGTTGATGTTTTTAATGGTTTATATTATGTGAAAAGAATGAACAAGTTTCAGATTATGCCTACTAATTGCTTCCCTGTTGAAGGATGAGCAAGGGCCTCGCCATGTTGCTCTAGAGAAATAATAGTTATGATCTCTAGCCATATACACTTTGACAAGCAAAGCATTAATATTCAGAAGCTCTAACTAGAACATGGTAAAAACATCTACGCAACCTTACAAGATAATTGCCTTACAGAATAACAACCTCTAAAATCTTGAATATAGTTGTATATGGATAGCATAAAAAGCGGTAATAGAACTCACCATTGTGAAATATGAAGCAATTAGGAAGCTCAAACCATTTAATTAGCATTTCATTCTTCGCATAGCGTGGAAGGACTCCAAAGCGAGCTTTTTTTGTATTATCAAATTTGAATATGAACTCTTTGTTTTTAACCATTTCCTGAAAATTAAAAGTGAAGAATCTTAAAATGTACACTATCAAGATTCATTTGATCATTTGTTGTAGATTTCAAAATGGTGAATCAGTACATCATAATGGAAACTGGGAAGCAATAACACCACTGTTTCATAGCATTGTTAAAACAAGGAAAATATATAGTGACTCTATTGAGCACATGAATTGGATATAATGAGTTCAAGAAGTGTGGTTAGCATGAAGTCAGCCATTTATAAGAAATGTGAAGATGATAGAGTGAACAAGCTAAGCATATACATATTGTTGTAAGATGATTTAAATGGTAACGAATATTGGATTCAGCTATTGTTCTGTATCAACTTCTATACTATACTCCCTTCCAAAATGAAGTTTACACTTTGACTTCACAAGTTTCTAGGTAAGATAATTCTTTGGTCTTGACTTTTTGAAAATGCCCCTCAATTAAAGTTGGCTAGTGAAGTGAAAATTTAACCTTTTTGGGTAAATGATAAGGGTTTAGAGGTACCATTATGGCATTATCTAATCCTACCTCTAATATTATAGTGGATGTGGGAATATAATTTGGGGACATCCTAAAAAAGAAAAAAATAATCAGGGAATAGATGGAGTACAAATTCTAATCACATATAAACAGGCAACTTATTTTTTTCTCGTGTACACATTTTTTCACACGTGTTTTGACGTCTTACTGTATCTCACTACGGCAAGAGAGAAATTTCCTTTTACATCAATAAGATATGCTCATCTAATCAGTAATCAGATAATCATAATTGGCCAAGTTCAAACTGGATAAGCATTACACCTTTGGTCTGAAATATAGCGGGAGATCCATGAAAATTGCATAATTCTCAGTGATGGCAAAATCATGCATCATGACAGGTTCTGGTATTGTTATTGGAACTGGTTCATACATTTCACCATCCCTTGATACAACTCGGTATGTGATATAGGGTGGTGTAGTAGAATAGCCGAAGGCAAACATCTCTCCTGCATGGACCCATCATCGAGTCAAAATGAGCTTTATTCCAGAAATAAAAAAAAGTTTAATCAAATGTTTATTTTACAATGTTGCACTGCTGCTAGAGATTATTAATCAATTGGTGACGTTTTAACATTAAAAATTAGAGGGGAATATGAAGGAATTTAATATGGGTTCTTAGAAGATGATATTGAGTTTGTAGGTACTATGGAAGCACTTAATTGAGGTTCTTATAAGATTTAGTCAATTAATGCTGTTTATTGATATGTTGAAGTAAAGGTCAAAGTATCATATAGCCAATTACTAATTCAATGGCCTTCTATTCTAAAAGTAAATTTACGGAAAATCACAAAGCTCTATTACCAGTTATTGGGTCAACCTTCGGATGAGCAGTGAAGGAATGTGTCAATCTCTCGTCATAATCCATCATGCCAAGAGTTTGTAAATCTCCATCCTCCAAGACTTTTACTACATCTGAGGAAAGTATCACGAAAAAAAATTATGTTTTAGGGAGTACCATAAGCTAATGAAATTAATAAAATTACCTTGGTGCTACTGCATACTATTGAAAAAAAGTGCAAAACCATGTCCCTATGGGGACTTTATAATTTTGAATCATGTCCGCAAGACAAACTAAAGAAAGAATATAGAAATTGAACCAGCCTCAAGAGAGATCTGCCATACATGGTTTATCTCCCTCTGAAAGTGCCAAAAGCTTCCTGTGGTGATAAATCAGTGCTGTATTGGCTGAAAGAAGACATTTATTTTAACTCAGTAATTCTTGACTTGGGCAAGAAAAATGTGAAGGACATTCTATCAACTTGTGAAGTTATCTCGACACATGTTTTTGCCGGGACAAATAGAGAAGATCCATGTTCTGCCACTAGTAGTAAACCATGGTTTCACCTACCCGTGCCTGTTCCATAGGAAAGATCTAATACTTTCAGCTTTGCTCTTAGCATTTGCATGTAAACCATAAGAAGTCCAGACATCCCCTTAAGATCCCCTATCTGCAAATTGTGTAACAATATCAAAGATATATAATGCAGATACATGTTTACTACATTATTGGTCATTTCCATGAGCATATTTCATAACATCACTTATTAAACTTAGATGTAGATTGAACTTTAGCGATGCACTTTTAGAAAGATAGACACTGAGTTCAGAATGCACCTTCATAAACTTAGCTCCTCCAAAATATTGTTCTTGCTTGAGACGTGATGTCTTCACAAAACGAGAGACATATGTTGCTTTTCCATCTTTAATGCGCAAACCATGAATCATTCTGCAAAAAAAGACAGTAATTACAGACCATAATTCAGATTAAATCAATTTGCACTAAGAGAGAGAAGAGAAGAAATATAAACCAACACACCCATCTCCATCAAACCTGCAAATAAGAAATATGAGAAAAACTTCTCAGTCATTGACAAAAAAGTCTGTGCTTAACTACTCATAAAAATAAAAGTATTCACCATTACTCAAATGTGTGCCAGTGTGTGTGTGTGTGAGAGAGAGAGAGAGAGGAATACAAAGAGAGGGGCCAAGAATGTTGTAACACTCTTTTAGGAAGAGACAATGAAACCATTGATTTGGAAAACTCCTATTGAAAAAATAGTTGACATAAAATGACTTATCAATGGTACCCCGCCACCGGAGGAAGGTTTAGATTGGGACCAACTCTGACTTACTCAAATGTGTGTGTGTGTGTGTGTGAGAGAGAGAGAGAGAGGAATACAAAGAGAGGGGACAAGAATGTTGTAACACTCTTCTAGAGAAAGACAATGAAACCATCAATTTGGAAAACTCTTATTGAAAAAATTGTTGACATAAATGACATACCAATGGTACCCCGCCACCGGCGGAAGGCTTGGATTGGGACCAACTCTGACAAACTCACCATTCAGGCATTCCTGCAGAAGCAGAAAAATACAACATATTATTCATATTTTGGGAAGCACTGCACACCCTTTCTCAGAGCATCTGAGCTCATCATATGTCTCAGATTCTTCATATCATTCGACACTTTAATAACATGTCACTGAGAATAAATAGCTCCAACACTTGGAAAAGATTTGAATGCAGGAACAAGAGAAGAAGGTGACAAATCAGATTTTAATGTACATGCCCGCCATCTTGACGAGCATGCCTAACAGCCATCGACCTTTATCCCTCTATTTCTCCAAAAAACTATGAGCATGTCTAACACCCGCCATCATTTTTCCCTCTCTTCCAAAACAATAATGTGCATGATCGAAGAACGAGAAAGTTGCATTTGTCTGTGTTTTTTAAGAGATCGGGAGCATAAAAAGCGATAGAGAAGCAGAGAACGGCCCACACAGAGAAAAGAAGCTCATCGCCCACATTCCAATCGCCAACACTCTCTCAAAAAACTTAGCAAACGTAGTCTCAAGATTGTTTGTCATTCAACAAAGATCTGCCTCTCTACTTCTAGAGACAATCCTAACAAGCCTGCTTCTGTCGGCTCTATGCCAATACATGTACTCCAAATTGCTCCTCGTTATTGATGATCAGCTTGCAGGGATATTAGAAATATTATGAATAATATGAAATGCTAGTGTAAATTTTATCGGGTCTGACCAGGTCAAACGGGCTCTACCGGATAAAGAAAACACACACGAAACTAAGAACACCACAAGAATGACCTAGACAAGGAAAAAATTCATTTGTCTGAATTTATATTTCCTACTTTGTCTCAAAGAGTGTACAAGCTTGTGTGAGAATGAATGAATTTGTCCTCCTCCATCTATTACAACCTATTTATATAGAGTGGAAGAGGTCAAATTAGGTAATCAGCTGCTACTTAGCCGTAAGCCTAGCGCCAATCACCGACCATACATGAAAACAACATCTTGTCCCATCGCTCATGAATTAAGTCATTAATGGGCGCCAATCTAGCCCTCAATCAAGTTGTATAGCCAGAACGATGGAGCGGAATCTTCGCTATGCAATTAACTCCCAAAGATGGTGGGGTTGAAGTAATTGGGTCACACACACTCCCTCATCATGTCATCTCCTTTAGTCCGTCGTCATTGAGGTCCAGCCGGGATCATCTGAATAGTTGTCTTCTGGAAGCAAATGGGCTAGGCTAAAAATATGACCGGTCACTTGCCAAAAGGTTATGACCAGTCACTTTTTCCAACGGTTCCAATGTCTTCCTCATTATTATTAGTTCGTGACCGGTCATGACCCGACGGTCACTTTTCGGGTCCGGTATAAGTTATGCCCATAAGGAAATAAATATTATTATTAATTACCTTCTTCATTCTTATTGTTTCCTTATTATAATGTTACCATAATTGTTATTCTGCTTGTTGGGTTAAGGAACCCGGGGCCTAGGAGACTAGGCGGAAGAGTATCGAACCGAGTCGAGAGTGCACAAGTTGGGAATCAAGTAGGTTGTAAGTATTATTGTGCTAGTCCGAATGTCCCTCCCCTTTCCTCTATAAAGAGTTTATATGTGAATTACAACAGAGGGTTCCCAACCGTTGGTCCGGAGTCCAACGGTTCAGGCCCACTAAGATTGGGTTGTTCATTGGCGGCGCCTAACCACATCATTACCCCTAGGGCTGCTATACAAAATAGGTTACAAATAGATTACAAATAGGGTGGCTAGAACAACTCTGCTAGAGATACGGCACGGATCCAATCGTGGGCCCCTTGATCTTGACTACTTAGGCAGCTCCCATGTTTGGGTCTGGTCTGCTGACGCCTCGGGACTGAGGCCGAGTGCGGATGGTCTGCTCCCTGAAGTCCTTTGAGGGAAGGCCGGCTGAGGGTGATCCGAGGACGACCAACCCTGTCGAGGCCGAGCGTGACCTAATGCAAAGGTGGCCTTCCTAAGGCTTTAGCTTCCTCTTGCTCTTGCCCTACTAGGTGGGCCTTGGCACGGTTGGGCTGGGCCACTTCCCTGTTGGGCCGGATACCCCTATTCCCGGGTATCCATCACTACTTATATTAGATTCTTGAGTAAATTCTTTAAATAATCCTTTATAAATGGGGAGTTTCCATATTTAGTCCACATTTATCAAATATTATGTTGAGTGTCCTTATTAATTGGGTATCATCCCACGTTTAGTCTTCCGTCTATTTTCATGTCTCCATGTCGTTGGACAAGGACCAAACGTAGAATGATACTCAATCAATAAGGACAACAAAAATAATATTTAATAATATGGACTAAATATGAAAATTATCTCATTATAAAAGACTATTTGGAGAATTTACTTATTTAAAACCATTTTTAATTTAAAAAAATCACGTTTGGTCATTGTCTAATGGTACGGAGATGGTACCCAATTAATAAGGACTGTTTATATTTGAAAAAATATGGACTAAATATTAAAACCCCTATTAAATAGGACTATTTAGAGCATTTACTCTAGATTCTTTCTTATAATCCATTGAAAGACAGTGAATTAGACTCACGGGGAGATGGCCGATGACGGGAAGGTCCTTGCAGGGGGGAGTTTCATCGAGGGCTGGAGCGAAATTGCCGGAGAGATAGTGAAGGGGTTTGGAGGAATCGTGCACCATCTTCACGATCATCCATTCCAGCCAATCTATAGCCTTGGCGATGATGCCACTTTGCGGCTTTGGGCTCACCACCACCATCCCTCCCGCCTTCCTCTCCACTCCATCTTCTTCCTTCTTCCTCCCCATCTCTCCCTCTCTCTCTCTCTCTCTCTCTCTGCAAATCCAAATAGCTGGGGAGTGAATCGTGATAGGATTGATTCCAGTGGATAAGCTCTGTTTATACCTTCAGTCTCTATTGTACGATGAAAAATGCTACGGGTAAAGGTGTACCCCATTTGTACCCCTCCCCTCCGTTACCACAAAAATGGGCAAAAATTTTTAAAAAAATTAAATAAATAAAAAGTAGATAAAAATGAATGGTGGAGAAGGGGATGAGGGACAAATGGGATACACATTTGGTGTACTCCTAGCACGGCTTTTGTATGATTTGTACCTAACTGGTTTGGATGTTGTCTGTCCTCTTGAGGACCACAACATTTTAGTTAGTAACTACTCTCTCCGTCCCCCAGTTTTTGTCCACTTTCATTTTTGCACATCATCTAATTCACTTCTTTAATCCATTTTATCTTATAATTTGTATATTAAAAAATTATATATTAATAATCTATATGTTAAGACAAATCAAACAAGATCACGCATGACTATATTTAGGCTTACACATTGAGAAAATTTGATGAGTCAAAGTGCTTAGATGAACAGTTTCAAAAATCAAAAGTAGACAAAAAGTAGGGGGCGGAGGGAGTAATGCTTATGCTCTATTCTTTTTTAGTTTGAAAAATAATGGGTAAATTTTAATTTTTTTTTGTTTACTCCTTGCCCTTGCCAGTCATTCTAATTACTTTCAGATAGTGTTTGACAACTAGCATTTCATTTCAATTCAAGCATTTCAATTTCAAGATTTGAAATCTTGAATTTCAAAGGGGAGGTGCATGGATTTGAAATTAAGCTTTGTTATGAATGAGAGGAATTTGATTCAAATCCAAATTTAAAATTTTTGAATTTCCCAAACATGGAATTTGAGTCAAATCCGGATTTGAAATCCAAATTCATGTAGCCAAACATGCCATCAGTTTTTTCTAATAATTACTCCCTCCGTCCTATAATGATCTTCTTGGTTCACAAAACGAAGAAAAATCCCAAGTTTTTTCAATCTATTTTATTTAAATATTGGTATAGAAATAAAAAATAAAACATATATATTTAAAAACTACACCAAAAGTTCAACAAAACAAGTGGTGACAAGAATATTTTATTTTATCATATAGGCCATGAAAAAAACATAAATAAATATAAATTCCCGTGAAGTTAGAATAGTGTTCTGAGAAGATCATTATAGGACGGAGGGAGTACTTAAAAAATTTATTTTTTGTATGATGAACAATTCCCTTGGTATTCATGAAGGGGATTCCCCTATTTTATGATCCTAGGTGACCGATAGCAAATAGGGGATTCCCCTATTTCCCCTATTGTATGATGAACACGCTCTCTCACGTTAGCTTCTTAAACTAAGTGACAATGAGGTGAGCAAGACTCTAATATAATGTCAAGAAATCTATTCAATCAAAAACTTAATTTTATGGTCATAGGCTTATGAAATGTTGGAATTTTTGGCATTTTTAATAGGCGTTAAATGGACCAACTTGGGTATATTTGTCATTAGGTCCACTAACGATTTTAACCGTTAATTAATGGACGTGATTCCTCTTAAATGAGATAAATGTTTTGACAAATATTACGCCAAAAATGGTAGAGGGTGAATGAGAAATTGATTCTCAGAGTTAACCCGTTAATAAAAGAATATGGCGAGAATTGCAATTTTTGCAATTTTACTGAACCAATCTTCTTTTATTAATTTTACGTATTGTTTAAAATTAGTCCATTTTTACGGAGTTAACTGGCCATTAATCTTCAATTATTCGAGACAAATTTTAAACGGAGCGTAGCGTAACGGACGTGTTAATGGCTAATAAATCACCATCAACACACCATTAGTGTGTCACAAATGCCATGTTTAATACTAAGCCTTAATGGTGTGTAGGTTGCACATTTTAAAATAGCTTAATTATAAAGGTAAAGGGCTCTCTCCATTTTTCCTTGTGAGCTTCACGTGAGAAAGAAAAGGGAAAAAGTAAGAAATCCTTTCTTGTTTAATTTTTTTTAGAGAGAGTTCTAGACCTTCCGGCCAAATTTTCCGGTCATCCCCTTTAAAGTTTTTGGTTGCCAACGTTCATATGTCGTTCTTGTTCGTTGGTGTGTGGTTGGTCCGTACAATCTCCACACACGATAGCGGTTTTATCATGGGAGGAGAGTGCCCACGTTTTCCGGTACGGTAGGCGGGCACTACTACCTTAAGGACAGCTCCGGCGACTCCGCTGTCCTTCCACGGTGTTTTGTTTTTGCGGGTTCAGTTCATAAAGACCTCGCTACATTCTGTCCTAGTGCATAATGTCCTCGCAGCCCAGTGCATAATGTCCTCGGAGCCCTGTGCATAACGTCCTTGAATTACTGTTCAGTGATTAATGTCCTCGCTGTCTAGTGCTTAATGTCCTCGCTGTCTAGTGCTTAATGTCCTCGCTGTCCAGTGCTTACCGTCCTCATACAACAAGGCTGTTTGAAGATATAGAAATTTATTTTTCAACTTTATTTATTTTGTAATATTCTGAATAAATTATAAATTCAGAATTTTATTTATTTTTATTTCCGGGGCCGTTCATCTTCCTCGTCCGTTGTAATCCGTACGAGAATTGTAACATGAAAGATGTTATACTCTCACAAGGACCCATATAGGCTCTAACGAGGAGTGAAATAGAATATGCAACCGTAGAAAGTAGTGGGAGAAGTATTATCTCTGACCGCGTTCTTGTTGAAGAATGAGCTGATGACTCATATGCAATGGGGTACTTAAGGAAACCCACTAGAGCCGTAACGAAAGTGAATCTTTATCGGTCATTGCTTATGGACTCACTAGAACCTGTGTGATATATCCATGACCAATATGAAGCTTGGAAGAACCTAAGTGGAAGTCTAAACTCACTCATGTTAAAGAACGATGGCCCGTGGTTAGGAATGAAAGACGGTCAAACTATTTTACATATCACTACTAACCCTGTTTTGAACATATCAATTATATTGAAATTGACTACCATTTCGTCAAATATGAAAATCAAAGAGGAATGAGTACACCGGGAACATATTTACTATTGATCAACTACTTGACATGTTGACAAAGACATTGACTCTTGCACTATTTGCTCATTTGTTGTTTAAGTTGGACACATGTAATTTGCACGTTCCAAATTGAGAGAAAGTATTACATGTAAATGAATTTGGAATGAATGTATATTCACTTATTATTATTACTAATTTACATGTTTTTGGTGGAATTTCTTGTTATGATAGAAATAGACTTTATGACAATAATAGAAATTTTCATTTTTTTAACTAAGAATTTTAATATTCTGTATTATTATTTTGTCTCCCTACTTGTTTTTAAATATGTATGTTTTATTTTTTATTTCTATACCAATATTTAAATAAAATAGATTAAAAAAACTTAGAATTTTTCTTCGTTTTGGGGAAGAAAGATATAGGACGGAGGGAGTACTATCATATGAATTCTCAAATGTAAAAAACAAAAACAAAAGAAAGAAAGAGCTCTAGGAGTATTGTTTTAGATGTAGCATAGGTGCAAATTTGAAAATTCCGGACACAGCTAGTATATGTGGATGTGTCTATATTAATCTCACACTTGTCTTACTTTTTGTTCATTAGTTAAATGACATCTTTTTCTTCGGGTAATTGTTTATACCCCGTGTATTAAATAGTTATGTGAGTAAAAGGTGTCATAATGGTGACTAATAGTTTTTCACCCATCCTGAAAAACTCCACTATTTAAAAGTTTTTCACCAATAATGAAAAACTCCAGTATTTAAATGTAAAAAGTTTTATTTTCTTTTTTTAAAAGATAAAAATTAAATATCAAAACATGTTCGATTGTTTGTGAATTTACAAAAAAAATCATGAAAAATAGGACGATGAAATATTTTATTTCCACCAAATAATTGGAAATAAGGCTTTTCTCCAAATAAATATTTCTTTTGCCCCTAAATAGAGTCCATAGTTATTAGTGAGTATGTATATGATATAACCAGCTGTACCGGGAGTAAGGCATTATCCTGTAGTACTCATTTTAAAGTAAAGTATTATTCATTCTCATTTTATTTTGAAGTAACTTAGTACTCATTCTGTATAACATAGTACTCATTTGAACTAACGTGGTACTCATTCTGAAATAATATAGTATTCATTTTTCACACATTTGTTCATACATTTATAATATTCATTTATGAATAATGTAATGTTAATCATTAAATAAAGTAACATTCATTTTCAAATAACTTAGTACTCATCATTTTAAACAACATTCCATTCATAAGTTGAAATCTGTAACCCTTTGTCTCTGAAACCTATCAGGTCTTCCGCCTGAGAGGATTAGACAACATTCATCGCCGATCATAATTAGAGCTCTGCCTTCTTTCTTATACGCAGAAGATCCGATCGGAAATTGTCTTCTTTCTTTGACTCGATCAGAATTAGACAGCGTTCATCGCCGATCGAAATTAAAGCTCCGCTTTCTTTCTTCTACACAGAACATCCGATCGAAAATTAGAGTAGCGTTCATCACCGACCGGAATTCGGGAAGGGCTGGCTACAAATCATCTATCCACGCAACGTTCATCGCCGATCAAACTCTCTTATAACCACAATAAAAAATACATGGACTATTTATCTATTTATGAAAGACCACGTGAACCATTTAGTAAATATATCTTTAATTTTTATAATAGTATTTAAATAAATTAAATATCATTTCGCTCCAACATTATAAATTACTCCCTCCGTCCCAAAATATCCACAACATTTGCTTTTTCAGCAGTCGTGGGAACTTTTGTTTATTTCTACGTTTTCATTGGTTATTTGATAAAATAAAATATTCTTGACACCTCTTATTTCGAAGAACTTTTCATTAGTTTTTTGATATGTAAATTTTTTTTTATTTTCATACTAATATGTAAATAAAATGAATTGAAAAAACTTAATATTTTGCCTCGGAAATTGTAGAAATATTATTAGATCTAAACTTGAATAATTTGATTATACATAGATCCGCTATTTATAATAGCTACAAGACCAT